TACGAAAAATTTAATTTGATCGTCGTATACAATTATTTGCCGACAAAAGAAAGTTTAGTCGTCAAAGACCATGCATATTTTTTTGTTACAAGTTCTTTAAGAAGAAAAATATTTCAATATATTTTTATAACTGCATTTTAATTTTAATATTATTTACACCGTGCCTTTAGGCACGGGCATACGCTAGTATATATATATAATGGCCCCCCAATTTAAAAAAATATGTGTAATTCTTTTTCTATCTTGCATTCTCTTTCTATTTTACATGGGAAAAAAAAATTATTCATCATATTAGAAATTATTTCTATGGTATTTAATTTAATTTTTTATTTTTTATGTATATATAATTTATATTTCTATATCATATATATATGTGTGTGTGTGTGTGTGTTTTGTGTATATGGTGGGAAAAATTTATTTTTCTTTTGACCCATCCAATAATGAAATTCTGATTCCGTCCCTGCTTGGAACTAATTTGCTACAATAGTTCTACTATGATAGCACTAATCACAAAATTAGCAATAAAAAATACAGATTTAGCAACGTGAGTGGAATAGTTTCTTCAACGGCTGACCCATGGGCATGGCCCAATATGTATATATATATATTTTAAAATTTTGTGTAAGCATTGTGTTTTCATTTTCTTCATTTTCATTTTTTTCATTTTTGTTTTCCTTTACCAAGTTTCTTGCAACAAAAGCAAGGAAATTTGAAAAACACCATTGTTTTCATTTTTTAGCTTTTTTTTTTTAAAAAAAAATGAGTTGTTCAATAATTTTTGAAAATAATTCACAAAATAAATTTTAATTCTTAAAAATAAAAAATAAAAACACAAGCAAAAGTAAGAATAGAGCTGGAAACCACCCATGATGTGCCCAAATCATCAGCAAGTCTTATAATCAATGATGACCACTTGATTAAATCATGGTAGTTCTCTACACATTCCAACTCTTGTTTGGTAATGGGATTTGAGCTTAGAAAATAAGCATGGACTAGTATTCATAAACGGATTTGGGTAGTGTGTTTGGGGACAGGCGTGGGAGATCAGCGCGAGAATTGTTTCAGTGTGGATGGGTGTAGGTGGGTGTGGGCTTAGAGTTTGATTTGTAGGTTTAATCTTTTTATTTTATTGTTTTTTATTTAAAAAAATATAAAACCGCGACACAGAAGGGTTGATTATAAGTGTTAAGTTTTATTATTGGCAATCCCCTTTGACAAAAATTTTTTTAAGAAGTTGATTTTCTTCCAAAATTATGATTACTTTTGGATTTCTATAAGTAATTGGATTTCTTCTAAAACTATGATTACTTTTGGATTTTCTATAAATAGTTGGTTTTCTCCCAAAACTGTTTAATTCCTCCAGATCTTTTTTTTTGGGATATTTTGTTAGTTTTCTTTGATGTTTTATTGAGTATTTAACTCATGGTTTAAAGAGAGTACATTAAAGGTTTTGTTTGTTATACACAAGAGAGAGAGAGAGTTGTTCTTCAGTGGATTCTGGAGTGGCTCATTGTAAAGATAATTCCGAGGTGAAGACGAGGTTGGAAGAGGCACATAAAGGTTGGTTCAATTAGGCGTGGATTCGCTAAGAAATTAAGAGTATACCTATATAATTCCTTTAAATCTTTTTAGTGGATTGTTTTGTGGCTGTTGCCCGTGATTTTTTTATCACAGTTGGAGGTGTCCAATTGTAGTTTTTCCACGTTAAAATCGTTGTGTTGATTTGTCATAATTGTTTGATTGGGATTGTTATATACTGCTTAAAATTGTTACATAATCACAAATCAATATCTAGGGGATTTCTAGATTTTTCAACAAGGACACAAGGCTCCGTTTGTTTGGCGTTATAGAGAGGGGATGAGGATGAGGATGAGGATGAGGATGAGGATGGGGATGGGGATGGGGATGGAGATTGAAATTGATAGTGAGGTGAGACTTATTATCTTTGTATTTATTTTGAGAGATAGAGAGAGGATTCGTAATCCCCTCCGGATTGTGAATTCCCTTGGAGAGGGAATTCGGATGGGTCTCTAGTACTTAGTATTAGAAAAATAGTCCGCCAGACTTTTTTTTTGTTTTTTATTTTTTTTACATGGGCATTTTTTTTTGTACATTGATATTTAACTTTTTGTTAAGTAAAAATCATTGTTTTATTTGTTTTAGTTTTTTATTTTTTTATTTTTTACACGTTTGGCATTTTTTTTAACATTAATGTTTAATGTTTTTGTATTTTTTTTATTTTATTATTTTATATAAAAATAATTTAACAATTCTTACACCAACAACTATCATCAAAACAAATACAATTTTACTTAGGCATCGTTTGGGAACAGGATTTTTTAGTAACATTTTGACTTTTTGGCTAAAATGTGATGTAAAAAAACTAGTATATTTGGAATAACTTTTTAACTTTTTACAAAAAAATGTACAAAAAATAGAGAGAAAATGGAATATTTGATTTTTTTTTTATGAGTTGTTAGATTTTTGGTTTTTTGTGACTTTTTGATTTTTTTACTAAAAAAGTCACTTATCAAACAAACCCTTAATCTTCTCGCTATAAATCCATTTATTAACAATTCTTTCACTATTAATCATCTCATTATAAATTCTCTTCATCCTATCTTTAAAGACAAAGGAAGCCCAAGTTACACCAATAATAGAGTTTGAGCTTTTTGAATCTCCTTCAATATATCTTTTAACGTAAGGAAGGATGTGCACCGATGCTCCTTAAGAGTGTCCCAAGTCATTTCATTTCATAAATTCAACATATATTCATGTAGTCTGGTAAATGTTATTCACATATATTCATGTAGTCTGGTAAATGCTATTCACATCCCATTTAAGAAACCAAAAAAAAAAGGGTCAAATTTACTAAAATTTTGTCGGACAACTTTTAATTTTAATTAAAAAGTCAAAAAATCATTATAAATTATTACATCATTCTCTATTTTTTCACACATTTTTTCATGAAAAATTAAAAAATTATTAAAATAATATATTCTCACACAAGGCTTTAGAAAATAAAAGCCCAATTATTTTTTTCCCTCTCCTCTCTCTCTCTCCCTTAATTTCTTTCTCTGGGCATCATTAATTAGTTGTATATTAAATATGTAGGACCTGGTAAAGCACAAAAAAATCTACTTATGTTTAAAAGCAAAATCACAAAAAAAAAAATCTTTAATATATGGATATGTGTCTTTATTTCTTGACTAAATTGAGAAATTTTTTTCATTAAAAATAAAATAAATCAATAGATAGCGTGTAATAATTCAGCACACGTTGTGTGTAGCACTACCAATTTGACATAATTATAACTCTTAAATATTAGTGAACTATATGTGAGACATTTTATATTTTTGAGTGTGTAAAAATGAGGTGGTAAATAAAAATAATAATGTTATATGATCAATACTACATCTACATTAAAATCTTACTAAAAGTATTTATATCCAAATATTATTGGAAATTTAAATATATATATATATATATATATATATATATAATTTTTTTTTTTACAGTCAATAGTACTGGATGGTCTCATTCTATGCTTGAGCCACAACTTCTACGCTCGAACGGTCCAACAATACACGAAGGGTTCGCTCGAGCCACCAAGTGGTCGCTCTAGCAGTCTGTAATAGACTGCAAAACTACTGGATGCTCGAAATGTTCGCTCGAGCGGTCTACAAATTTTCTGGGTTTTCAAATCGAAGTTTTGAGCTTCCAAATGCAAATTTAATGGAAAAACTCATGCATGCCTTGTTAAGAAAAACTCGGATACATGCTAGAAACTCATATACATGCTCTTTCAAAAATTAATTACTCCAATTCTCATGAATTTAACCAAAATTGAGTTCAACCTTCCATGTATGTAAGTTTTTTAAACCCTTTTTCTCCAACTCCATGGTTTTAAACAAAATTGAGCTCAAAAGCTCCATACATGACAAAAATTTATAGATGGGGGACTCTTTAAACTTTAAAATATGATTTTCTATGGTCTTTTAAAACCCATAGAAAATCTAATTACATGACGGAGAATTCTATCATAATCAGTCACTGTAGGGAATGAATGAAACATTTTTGGATCGTAATTGATTCTTTCAACTTTATTTATTTTTTGTTTTTTTTCTTTTATAGATGGGATGATTCTTTAAACTTTAAAATATGATTTCTTATGGTCTTTTCAAATCTATATAAAATCTAATTACATGATGGAGAATTCTATCCTATACACTTTTTATCATATATATTTTTAATTATGTTATTTTTTTTAGTTATGATCAATTTTTTTCTTTAGTTACGACAATATTTTGAGATATTTGATTATATCTCGTTTGCGTTTGGTTATGGTTATTTTTTTTAGTTATAACTCAGACAATATGTGGTTATATCATTTTCTTCTAATTATAATGTGTATATGGTACACATAGGGATAAAACTAGAAGAACTATAAAGGGCTCCCAACATTTAAAAAAAAAAAAGAAAAAAAAAGGAAGATTCTTTTTCCATCTTGCATTTTCATTTTGTTTTGCACCAAAATAAATAAATAAATAAAAATTTCATCATATTAGAGATTACTCTCATGGTGTTTGAATTTTTTTTTTTTTTTTTGTATAATTTATATATCATATTATGTGTGTGTAGTGAAAAAATGTATTCGTCTTTTGACACCTTCGGTGATGAAATCCTAATTCTGTTAACACTCTTTAAAGATTGTGTACCATAATCTTTTCCTTAGATGACAAGTAACAATGAAATAACTGTCTTACAGAAATAACAACCAATCTCAAGTTCAATTCTATTCACATGCTATCAAAATATGTGAATGAAACATTAGTTTTAGTGCCGTTTTGGCAACATTAGCAAAAAGCAGCGTTTTGACGCAACGGGAAAAATGCAAAAGTTTGAAAAAACGCAACATACGCCATTTGGGAAGATCTAAAAACGAAAGTCTATCAATTTACCAAACTACCCTCTGTCTTATGTAATTGGGGCCTAGGGCAAAACACATTCATTTGCCTCCTCCCCTTTGCTGTTGATTTTCTCATCCTCCTTCAAGCTACGCTTCCAACCCCCTCGAACAACCCAGGACGTTGCCGTCCCTCGCCGACACTGCCTCCGGAATCATCGTCCACGTCCTTGCCGTCGCCGGATCTGCACCATCAGGTAAGCCGAAAGCCCTCTTCCGTAGTTGTCTTCTCGCAAGTATTGACAGACCAATTTCCATGGAATATTTTTTCAAAAATTAAGGGATCAGCTATTGTATAACTTATATATGCTGTAATGTTGCTCCATATTCATTTCCACTTGTGATTTCGACTTGTGTGATGTTTGTATTTTCTATCTTTGGCCGTCAGTGTTCTGTGAACACAAACACGTCTATGTACTCATCCCTTTCGATCGATCACTGTACAAGTAAAATGGAAGAACACTGTGTTGCACCAAGGATTGAGGCTTCGGTGCAACATAATATTTCTGTGTTAATTTCTCTTTTAAATTGACAGAAATGCAAAACAATTATTTTTATTTTTATTTTTTTATTAATGTTTAGAATAGAAAATGAAAAGATGAATTTAAAAAAGCCTTACAATTGGAATAGACATTTATAAAACTCCAAGGTTTTCTTTTATTGGAAGCAAATATGGGCTTTTATGGTTTAAATGGTCTTCAGACTCCCTATTTTTCTTCTCTTTATCTCTTTCATTGTTTCCGTGGAAGTGGTTGTATAACTTTACAAGGTGTTGTTCTCTTTAACGAAGTAAATAACTTCTTCAATCAGGGCATTACCAATATTTGATTAACGGATCTTGATATGTTAATGGTCAAATTTTAGTCTCGAATAATTCTTCCAATCAGAAAATTATAACAACGATATGATTGCCTTTAAATTTTGATTTGTATTTGTATATCCATGTGGGGCTTGTGGGGAACATGGTGAATGTTGCTGTGTTACTTTAGCTGTTTTCTCCATGACAACAATTTGTTGCACAGTGGATTGAGGCTTCGGTGCAAGACATGGTCCTGTTATAATTTCTGTTCTAAATTGACAAAATGCAAAAATGGTCATATAATTTTGAATTGATTGGTCAACTAATTTATTTGTTTGTAAACTTTTTTTTTTTTGGGTTACTAGCACATATGTGCGCGTACAGATTTTGCAAACTGGTTTCATGTCGTGTTGTTGTTTTTTTTTTTTGTTTTTTTTTTAAATTACAATCGTTTATAATCAAGTACTTTTTATGTATTTAAATAGACCAAAAACAACGTCTATAGCCAAAAATAGTGCCAAGATATATATTTTCCTCTTCATCCTTATTATTTTCCTAGTTAGGAAGCTACTATTTCATTTTCCATCTTTCTCAATGTATAGATCTTTTAGTTCTAGAAAATGAATGTGTTAATAGTATTGCCAATTGTTTTGTACATTATAATTTTACAAGGTGTTGTTAGTTCAATTGTGACACTGGTCCTATACTATCAGAGTGGAAATTCATATAAAATCTGATTCCTTAATAAGATTTCAATGAATATTTCATACCAATGACTTGTCGAACATTAAATATTAACAGAATTGTACTAGTCATTGTACTAGTCTTTGTTATGCATGCATAGAGGATATGAAAAGATGATGGAAAAAATTTAGTTACCAAGACAATAGGGGATTACTTTTTAGGAAAGACATGTTGCTTGGTGAGGCATTGATGAACCCATGGGCTTGAGACAAAGACATGTGCAGCTTTAACTGGATCTGACTTATACAACAACTTTGTGTAGAAGATACATTCAGTGTCTTTTGTTGTTGACCATAAGGCTAATTAAAAGCCAAAAAAAAAAAAAAAAAAAAAAACTACTCATCAACTAATTAAGGCAAACCTATGTAATTTGTACACACTGTTAGATTTAAATGTCATCCCCTTTAAAAGAAACTATCTAATACATGAGTTTCTTGTTATTGTATTGCCTTGGTTCCAAAAGTTTAATTTTATCCATTTTCCTCTTTACTTCTTCAAACTACATCAAATTAGTTCAATTTATAACATGTACACAAAAATTACTAAGATTATAGACATGGCGTCCTCCACGTCAACTGTCATTTCATCATGGCCACCGAGGATGTGTGCATGTCCAAAAAAACTAATTTAGTTCAATTTATAACATGTCCCAAAGTAGAAGAAAACTAATTTTAATTCTTTCACTTATTTAGTCTTAATTCTTTCAGTTATTCTCTTTCATTCCTCACACTACATCATATTAGTTCAATTTATAACATGTACAAAAAAATAAAAGGATTATAGAGATGGCGTCCTCCATGTCAACTGCCACATCATCATGGCCACCGAGAATGTGTGTATGTGGCTTTGGACATTGCATTGTCAAGATATCCAGATCTACCAAAACCCCTGGTCGTGCATACTACGTTTGTCCTAGTCCTACGGTGCGTTTGTGGATACAGGAGATGCTTCGAGGTCGGAATGAAGCATTTTAGGGAACTTTTTGGATGTCATAGGATGTGTTCTTAATGTTGTGCAAGACATTACTTGAGGATTGCGGCCTCCTAGTACCACAGCGTCCCCATGGTGTAGACGTAGTAAAGAGTGTCGGCATGTTCATTTTCGTGTTGTGGGGCTTCCTGAGTTGGGATATAGAAGACCGTTTCCAACACTCGGGGGAAATAGTATGGCGCCATGTAATGCGAGTTCTTAAAGCGATGAAGTTGCTCACGATTGCACACTGCCGACCGACAAGGTCACAACATAGTAGACATCTGTTCTTAAAGTCCCGACGAAAATATTTTCCATTCAGAGTGAGTGTAATAATTTTTTGCACATTTAATTATGAATAGTAACCACATTTAGAAAATAAGGGAGAACATTTTTCGGGTTAAAGCATTTCTCCTTTACATTTGCGCAATTGCTTTTTGTACTTGTATAGGACTGTATTGGCGTGCTTGACATCACACATGTGGAGGCACATCTCCCGCCGCAAGAGGCAGCGCCATATTTTGGCCGTAAAGGACGACACACGCAAAGCATACTCGCAGTGTGTGATTTCGACTTGTGTTTTACTTTTGTATCTTGCAGATGGGAGGGTAGTATGCACGCCATCAGAGTTTTTAATGAACTAACACAGGACTCAACCAAACAATTTCCCATGCCAGAGGAAGGTTAGATGAATAAGGGATGGTCAATTTTTTCTATTACTTGTGTGCATTTGATATTTGTAATGATGTTACTTACTAATGCAAAATTATCAAATTACAAGCAAGAAAATATTACCAACCAAAAAGGCTTTTTGGCACCGTTTAAGGGATGCCGCTACCACCAGGAACAGTTTCGCGCCACTGGATGGCCAAGAAATGCAAATGAAATTTTCAACATGGTGCACTCCTCCTTACGGAGTGCAATTGAACGTACGTTCGGAGTATGGAAAGTGCGACGGGGATTCCTACATAACATGCCACAATATGATTTTGGAAAAGTGCAGGTGCCATTGGTCGGGGCTTCAATGGCACTGCATAATTTTATACGCCACAACTCCAATGACGATGAAGCGTTTAACAGGGTTGCAAATGTAGAGAATTTTACTTTCAACGACATGCCAAATGTTGCGGGTGTTGGTTACGACGATGATGGTGAGCCAAAGGGCGATGATGTACATATGAACGAAGTGAAGAAATCAATACGAAATGAATTAGTGCAACATCGGCATGAACTTGGGCTGTAATCCTGTTCGGTCTGTACGAGTTGATAGTAAATGAAATGAATGTGTCAAACTATTAAAAGTGTTAAAAAAAAATGTGCGGTTGTGTTTGTAAGCTAGAAGTTGTGAAGGGTGTTTAGTAGCTTCTAATGTGGAAATGAATTAATGTAAGATTGCAATTTCTTGGCAAAAAATAATAAATTTAATATGCCATTGAATAATTTAATAATTTTACTGTGATGTGTAGTGTAACATGGAATAATAAAAACAAATTCATAATTAAATAATTTGCATTGCATAACATTGGAAAATTGTAATATTACATTAAAAAAAAGTGTTCAAATACACAAGGGCAAAATTGTAAATTTTATAAGTTGGCTAAGGGTATTTTGGTCATTTTAAAGTGATTGACACCATAAACAAATATTAAACCAAAAAGCAAAAAACACGCTTTTTACCAATTTCTCAAATCAATTTTCAAAAAAGTAAAAAAACTTGGTAAAAAACCAAAAGTCAGTTTTTTACCAACTTTCCAAAAAAAGCCATTATTGGTTTAAAATGTTAGAACTTATAATTTTAAGTGAGATTAATATATTTTTTAAATATAAAACTTATAATTTTAAATAAATCAAATTTTAGATATGTGTTTTGTATTGGAGTAATACTCCTCATAATTCATGTTCCAACATTTGTTCAGTTGTTACTTAAAAATTAGCATAAAAGTAATGAATTTTATTGTTCAAATGATAAAAATTTCGAGGCCACATGGATCATGCAAGTATTTTTATAATTTTTTTTTTATATCTTTACATTGTTCAATCAAATCATCATCAGACAATTAATTTTGTGGGTCTATATTTTAGAATAAGATAACCATATTTTTCATATAATTAATTTGATTGTTCACTACAAGAAAATGCACATTTGGCGACTAAAATTGGCGACCAAAACAATTTTAGTCGCCAAAAGCACCATATTGGGCGACTAAAAACCTGATTTAGTCAGCATTCGTTTAATATTTTTAGCTACTAAAAATATTTAGTCGCCATATATTATTATTGGCGACCAAACTTAGCTGTAGTCGTTGTTTGCTACAATTTTGCGACAAAATATTTTTGTTGCCAAAAGATGGGTGCATTTTTCATGAATTTATGGCGACCAAAACTAAGTTAGTCGTTGTATAGTAAATATTGCCGATGAAAAATTGGAATTAGTAGCCGAATAGGATGCTTTTGGAGACCAATTTTTAGTCGCCAAAAAGGATTTTTGGCGACAAATAAGGATTTAGTCGCTAAAACTTCGAAATTTTTTAGAGGGAAACTCATTAAATATTCGCGCCCAGTATATATATTTCACAGACACATTTTTGGAACTATTTTGTCTCACACACCAACATACAGACCTCACACACCAGCAGTCGATACCAAACCTGACCGCCGATCATCACCATCGCTCGCCACCGGCGCTGTCCACCGGCGCTGGCCGATCATCGCTCGTCACCATCGCTGGCCACAGGTATTTGTCTCTCGTCTCTCTCCCTCTCTGTCGATCTGGGTCTGTCTATTTGTATCTCTCATTCCCGTGTCTCTAACGATTTCTCTAGGGTTTTTAATTTTTTTTTGTTTCATTTTTTGTTGATTTCACAAACAATTTTTAGGGCTTTTTCTGATTTCGTGAATGGGTTTGGTTAAAATTTCAGATTGCCAATTTCTGATTCTCCATGGTGGATTGTTGAACTATATGACCAAATGTTCCAAACTAACTCTGTTTTAGGAAATCAGATGATTAAAATGAATGCATATATATATATATATATATGACCTCTGTTTTAGGAATATTCCAAACTAACCCTATATATATATAAATCTAAATAATATTCCAAACAAAAAATCATGTTCTATGCTCATAATAAAAGATTTCATTTTGAAGAATGTATGTATAGTCCACACCCCACTAATTTGGAGATCTTTTTATCAATTGAGCTAATGCTTGTTGGTCGAAATGTATCATATTATATAGGAAACAATTTCATGTTCTTTGCTTTGATCTCTCACAAGACAAGTCCAAGGCATACCCTTAACTATAAATTCAATTTTGCAGGACACTTTCTTTGCAAACTAACCCTATATATATTATTCCAAACTAACCATATATATATAACCCTATATATATATAAATCTAGATTTCATAGGTGAGAAATCTAAATAATATTTGACCTTGTTTTGTGTGTTAGTGAGAGGATTTGAGACCACAAGGACAAAGCCTCTGCAATCTAAGTAAGCTAAGGAGCTTAAAGTGACAATCCAATTCCATTCTGCTGTGCTTTTTGGAGATTTAAGGTACCTTTTCTTTGGAAAAAATTTTCGTCTAATTTGCTTATAATTTTTTTTTTTTTTGCTCTGATGATGAAAATCCTATTTATGTTGTTCCCAGCATTTAGAACAACATATGTTTTTAATGTAATCAAACACTCAAATTTGAGAGCCCCAATTACAACTACATTATAAACAATGTTTGAGAGCCCAATCATTTTTAAACATCTACAATTTCTACATACACTAGCATCACTTGGATGGGGTTGCCATGGCCATCCTACTATAACCTGCTGCTCATTCAATACTCCATCTCATCCACTATGGATTTAGCAGTAGTATATGGAAAAATAAAAATAAAATAACAAAAAAACTAAACAGAGGATATAACTAAGGTTTACATTCAAAGTAGTGGCAACCATTAAAATAGGGCCGGCCCTGAGATTTAGGGAGCCCAAGGCGACCTTCGGAAATGGGGCCTTTCTTACATTAAAAAAAAAATTTTGATGAATAAAACGATAAGTTACAACAACTTTTTTATTTGTTTGTAGTCACAAAAAAATTTACTTACAACAACTTCTTCATCAACCAAACATGAACTTTCTATTTGTTTCTTGCTACCAAAAAATTTATCAAGCGCTCCCGATTGAGATTAAATAAAATTTTCTAATTTTTGCTTCTTTTCCTTTTTTCACATCCAAAAATATACTTCCTAGGAGGCATGACTACTCTACATAATCACAAATCCACAAATTTTCTAATTTTCTAATTTTCAGAAATTTTCTAATGTTTATACTTCCATAAATTTTCTAATATACTTCCAGAAATTTTCAAAAATTTTCTAATATACTTCAGAAATTTTCTAATTTTCTAATGTTTATTTTCTTTCAATGACCCACATTCTTAGCCTCGGTGGGTATTATAAATTATTATATATATGATGAACCTCATAAACCCAAACAACAGTGCCTAATACACCACAAAATAAACTACAGAAAATATACTTTGAAAAAACAACCTTGCCGATTTTCCAAGCATAATGAGATCGTGACCTTCAATATTTTCATTTACTTTGATCATGAGGATTGTAATTTCAACAATCAAAACAATAAGGCTTTGATCAAAGAAAATATAAATGTCACCCTTCTTTTAGCTTCCATTTAGAAACTGGAAAGAATTAATTATGTGATTATCACATGTCTGATAAATTTATCAAATTTAAGTGTTAGACAAACTAAAATTTGAGGAGTGAAAAATGTTATCCAAAATGGTTAATAAATTGCTTCTTGAGACAGTTTTTGTTAATAATCGTTGATAGTAGTGATTATATTATAGTACAATCAACATAATTCCCCTAACTAATTGCCTCTTGAGCTTTGGTCTGTGGATAATTAATTTCGGGCAACAAAAAACAAAGTAGTTCTTGTATATATACAAAGTAGTTATGTGGATAATTAATTTCGGGTAACAAAAAACAAAGTAATTTTGGGCCCATGTCAGTTGGGCCTCTAATCTGTCATGATATATTTTGTTTTTTAGGCCCCATACACAATTAGGCTTATAGTATTTGGATTTTTTTTTTTATATCTAAAACATAAAATCATATTTTGGGGCCCTACTTTCAGCCCAAATCTGGGGGCCCAAGGCGCAGGCCTCTTTGGCCTGCCCTCATGGCCGGGCCAGCATTAAAAGCACTAGGAGTCTAGTCGCTCAGATTTTAGTAGCCCCTCCTGATGATGATAACTTCCATTGTGTCTATTTAATTAGCTTCAGTTGCATACTCTAATGCCTTCAATAATGTAGGCAGAAATAGTTTGAGAGAGAACCACAGACAATTTGTCTTAAGATCCTGTGAACTACCACACATCCAAAACCACATCTTGTTGATTACCCAACAATGCCCTCACATAAATGTACTGAACATATACTTCCTGTGCCATGAATCATTTGCGTACGAGGGTCCTCTGAATAAAATTCAAAATACAAATTGTTGTTGGGTCCCCAAGATTATCAGTTAACAAATTTTCTTCTCCCCTCAGCACGGGTTAGCAATATACTGTCATGAACTAAAATTATCGAAAGACATTACAAACATATTACAAAGAATTACAAGCAAAAAAACTAAAATTTTAAAATATGTGAATGGAAAACCTTGATGTGGATCGTAGGGAATAGAAACCAAAATGATTTACAAAATTGTAAATACATACTGACAATGAATCAATGAACATGTGACAAAATTAACTACATAGTTAAAGAGAGCAATGAATTTAAAGGGTATGCACAACTGAGGTACTAAATTAACCCCATGAAAGAAGAAATGATTTTAAAAAGTACGTATAAGACTCTAATATGTAAGAAGTCGGGATTTAAAGAATGGTTACAATAATTGTCAAGCTTTTTTGTCTCCAAGTTCAACGAAATCCAACGTCAAAGGAAATAGAATGCAGAAGTTTGATTACATACGAATAAAATTCAAAAAATAAACAACTACCTTCCATGACCGCAACGAAGAAAAATATACATTATGTATTGCAGATACTTTGTTTGGAGACATATTAGGAAGACTTGGAAATGGTGATATCATAGGTGATCCAGGTCATTGACCTACTTGTAAAAGAAAGATATCAATAAAACGAAATAAAATAAAAAAACAGCTAACAAGGGGAAAAAAAGAAATAAACAAAGCATACCATCAGTCCCATTGTTAGTTTCTGAATTTCGGTTTTTTGAAGCTGTTCCAAAAGGGGCAAGCTCCACCAATATTGGGTTTACAGTAAGAACAAATATTTCGTTGTAAAATGTAATTATATCAACATGCCCCTGCCCTGTTTTCTGTTTTCAGAGTAATGTAAAGGATTTGAATAACCTTTGCTTGGGTGCTCTGTTTTGCTGGGTTTGTCTTTGCTCTGCTCAGTTGGTTTGCTGCTACGAGTGGAGTGGGTGTGGGCTGTTTATGCTTTGTTTATTGTTGATGTTTTGGTTGATGTTGGTGATGGTTCCTGGGTGGAGTTTAATAGGTCTATGGGGTGTTTGGTTTTTGGTTTATTCCAAATAATGATAGTTTGGGGGGTTTTTTTTTCTTGCCTTTTTTTCTTGTTGGCTTTGGTTTCTCACCAACCCTAAAAAACTACAAATGAAGTATGACAAATTTGATCAGAATTTAAAGCTCTTGAAGGATTCATAACTAACAGACACTTACTACTTTTTGAACAAGCTTCTTGTTTGGCATAGGACTTGAAACCTTAAGTTTGGCGTCTCTGACTGAGCCTTAAATACTGTCTCTCTAGCAATGAGTCTTTTTTAGACATAATTTATGGATATTTGTCACGTTGTACAAATGCCTGGATGGACTATCATGTATATTTGAGATCTAATAGTTATGTCTTGTTGTTCTAACCGTGCTGCAGATCAATGGTTTAAGGAGGCAAAAGAGAAACATTCAACATTGAATGCGATCATATATGGAAATATAATATATGCCCATTAGTATGTTTTTCATTTAACAGATTTCGAGCTTTTTTTTTTTTTTTTTTTTTTTTGTTGTTGCTCTGTCATATGCATAGATGAAAAGTTTGTAGATCAAGTTCCTAATTTCTGTAGCTAGTAACCTCAAAGATGGGTTAGGTACTATCATATTGAAATTTGTTTTGAAAAATTTGTAGTATTCTATCTATGGTATAATGGTATCTGTTTTTGGGCAAACAATTGTTGAAACTGATGTGAGCTAATAATCTGATAGAAATGCTCCTGTGCTGAATTTTAGAAATATCAGATGATGCCTGGAGACCTCTGATGTAACCATAGTCAACATAGTGATTCTTAGCCCAAACTCTACCTTGTCTAGCAAAGCAACTGTATATATATACAAGTACTGTGCCTTTTTTTTTTTTTTCTTGTATTATATATTAGCAATTCACTTGGGAAATGAAGCCTTCCTAATAAAATGCCAAAGCTTCTTATTTATGGTCTAGCAACCCTAATAAAATAAGAGAACTAATACTCATATGTTGAGTTTTGACATCAATGTAGAATAATTGTTTCATACCATCAGCTGGATCTCTATTTCAAGGTTGTTGGTTTGTTAATTGGAAATGATGTTGGGAGGAGTTCATGGTAAAAGGGTAAATGGTGTGGTCCTTGGTGTGTTGCTGTAGAGGGTCATTGGTCTGTTGCTACTACTGCTGGCTGATGCTGGACTGTATGATCAGGTTCACAAGGGTCATCAGGTGGCCTCCTGTGTGTTTGGGATCCTAGAGAATTCCAGATGTCAGGTTGCTACAACAATAGAAGCTAAAGTCTAAGTTATGGGTAACTTGCTCTAGTTGCAAAATCATGAAGTTATGTTGCCACTGAATTTGTAGTGGGATGATCTGTGTGAGAGGTTGAGCAGCAATAGTATTATGCCATGGTCTTGGTAGATAACCTGGAAGAATCTAGTGTGTTGATCTGTGTTGCTGGTCTGGGTGAAAGGAATGCTCTTGATAGGATTAAAACCTGTTTTGATCACTTGATTGTGGTTGTTTTGTGTTTTGCTCTCCTAATTGGTGGTTACTGCTGCTATGGATTTTGTCCTGTTTCTTGATAGTTTGAGGCTGATGTTTAGGAGCCTGCTGGGGTATGCTGTTGGTTGGTTGCTGGTCTGCTGTGTGGTTTTGGAGTCTGTTTGGCGTATGAGATGATTGGAGGCTGCAAATAGGTGTTAAGAGGTTAGCTGGTGTATACTGTAGGAGGAACTGGTATTGCTAAAAATGATTTTTTGGTTCATTTCTGATTGAGAAAAATTATAGGTTTGAATTCTAAGATACAAATAAATGGTGTAGACGCGCCCGCGGGCCTCATGCTATAGTTCGGACTCGATTTGTGTCACGGTTCTAAGTCTGAACCAAAGAGTCCAAATCTGGCAAATCGTTTTGAGAAAAACAGATTTTTTTGAAAGAAGTGCCAAACACGGACTGCTTTGCCAGATACAGAGTCGCCACCTAAATATTTTAAAATGGGGGAATTTAGGAAACCCTGACTCGGTGCCGAAGGCCACGTGTCCGTCATCACCGGAGTTGTCTCGGCTCGGGAGCTTGGGTACGATCGGGGAAGGTCAGCTATGAGCACCCCCTTTCGCCCGGTCCGAAGACCGGCCTCTACTAACCGTGATATCCGTTTTTGAAAACATTGTGTGTTCTTATTCCGGTTATTAGCCTAGATTACTATGTTATGCGCGCAGCAAACAAATATAGACCAAATCACCCAAATTGGAACAAAACATTTCATATTCGTTTTGAAAATGGTTTGCTACTCGTAAGTAGGCTAAAATGCAGGTTTTGCCACCTTCAAGTGGGCTTTTGGAAAAGATGGTTTTGCCACTATCTAGTGGGCTTAAAAATCGCAGTTTTAACGCATTATCCCAATTTAAGCAATTTGACCTCCACCCACAGGCATTCAAGCAGTTTATCTCATGTAAGCACTTAGCCGCATGGCAAGCATACTATTATGGCAACATTCACACGCATGCTGGATGCTAAAGCAAAAATACTTACATCGTACTCCGTGCCAAAACAGTAAACTAGTTAGCAAACATGCATGTCCTAGTTCATGTTAAAAGTGGCTAATGCATCACATGCAAAATGCGATCTAGGCAGGCTCGGCTAGCCCTAAAACATGGTATGTGAAAATGCACAATTATCACATATTCAATTTTTGATTTGAAGTACCAATGTAGTTTGTATGATGTACCGAGCCCGGTGCATGTTAACAGATGCATGAATGCACGCATGCATATCATAAGGTAGGACGGTCAGCTATGAGCACCCCCTTTCGCCCGGTCCGAAGACCGGCCTCTACTAACCGTGATATCCAA